TTATACCTAACAAAAATAACTGAGGGGTAAACTTTATCCTTTTTTAAAGAACATTTTGCATCATCCACCATATTTTTATCCAAGCAGCTGCATAAAGCAGCTGGTCCGAGGAGCTGGACCATCGCGGAGGCGTCGCTGGATGCTAAGACGCGTGCACTGCGCGCATCCATGTGGACAACGCCAGGCCCTTTCCAACCGTACCGGTTGGAACTGGAACCCACCACTGATAGGAACTCACATGGTGGATTTCATTTTCACATAGATGTTTGATTTCTTGCAAAAACAAACGTTTAAATTCTGGTGAAACGCTAGATCAGGGATGTCAAACTGGATGTCTTCGAGGGCCAGATCGGCATTGTAGCTCTCCCCGGGGCAGCCCCCTGCGCCCTTATTTTGGCCAGCAAAGTGTTGCAGGAGGTCATCCAGGCCGAAAATGGGCCATGCAGGGGCTATTTCCAGGCTGGTCCCACAGGCCAGATTTAAGCATCCTGCAGGCTGGATCCGGCCCGTGGGCCTTGCGTTTGACATCCCTGCTCTAGATGCTTTTACTTTGTCATTTCTGCCAGGCATTCAGGGTCCAATCTGGTATCCAATATGATTAATAATCAACTAATATTTTGGTAGTTGGAGGCTGGGACGCAGTGTGAAAAGATTGCTATGTTAGGTTTTGTTATATTTCCCCTTCCTCTTTTTTCCCCCTTCCCCCTTAATGCCTGGACGTGCCTCTTTTCCTCACCCTGTGGAACAGCCGGGAGAAAAGCAGGATGTGGCACGAAGCTCGAAAACATGAGCGGAAGCTGCGGGGGATGATGGTGGATTACAAGAAAAGAGCGGAACGCCGGAGAGAGTATTACGAAAAGATAGTGAGTGTCTCTCTCCTTGGTTCGTTTTGGGAGAATGCCTTGATGTCTAACTGCCTCCCTCTTTCAGAATTAATACTCTCTAAGAAATGGGCGTGAGATGTTACATTTTTCTTGCGAACAGAATTTTATGACAAATGAAGAGCGAAATCTACGTGGCCCAGGATAATCTGCGTCAGTCACGACTAAAAAAGGACACACAATGTGGCATCCTATAAATGCCACACACAGAACAGCCCAAAGTACACACATTTGCTAGAGAGAAGTTGATTTGATTTTATTACATTTATATGCCGCCCTTTTCCCCAAGGGGACTCAGGGCGGCTCACAATTCAAATCAGGGGAGGGGGNGAAGGAGGGAGGGAAGGAAAGAAAATGAAACAATATCCAATGACTTAAGTTCTAATTTTTAAAATATGGACAGCAAATCCTTTAAAAAAAAACAAAAAACATTTCCTCCTATATCCTCCTGGAATGTCAAATAAGTGCTCTCTAAATTCTTGGTCCCTCCAACATTTTCACCATTCGAGCCAGCTGATTTGCATTAAAAAGAAAGAAAGAAAGAAAAAAAATCCAGTTAAAGAAACCAGCCAGGCTTCCTGCAAAGTCCTGGGATCGTTCAACTTTTAGGCCACAATGATTTTAGGAAACAATTCCAATTCCTAACTTCTTACAGCTGCGTTTTTAAGACTCGGCAACTGCCGAGATCATCCTGAAGCGAGCAGAACTGCATTTACAGAATGTGTTACCGACCCTACCGAACTAATTATTAAACAACACTGTGCACGTTTTCATCTTGCCCTTCTAGGAAGGGAACACTGATATATTCTAGAAAGACTCCAGCACGAATCATTTCCATTAACGTTTTAAATAGCGAACAAAGCACCTCAACTGTAGTGGCCATTCACTAAAACGCCCCTCTCCATCTATTCCTCTGAAACGAGTGAAAGCCGTAGAGAAAGGCAACCTGTACGACAGTTTGTTCGGGAGCATTAGGAAATTCCCTGGAGGGTTTATCCTCAAAGCTTCCCCATTCTAAACCGGACTTACCTTTTTAATACCTTGCTTATAATCCGAGTATCTCCCTTTATTTGCCTATTCCTACATGGTAGGTAAATGTTTTCTTGAGGCTGGCCTTTTCCTTGAGTCTCGGTTACCCCTGAACAGAATTGACTGAAAACTTTCCTATGACGCCTTTGAAAACACAGAACACCGTTGGTAAGTTTGTAAAGGTTTTGTGGACCATGTCCACAGTCAAAAAAAGCTTGTTGTCACCTATGTTCATCAAGTCAGATCTTTTCACCTAACACCCCCCCCCCCAAGCTGCCCGAAGAAATGTGCTTGGAAACCCAAGGGAACAGAATCAAATTTTCCAGGTTCAGCTTTTGGGATGCTTGTTGGCGCTTTCCAAAGACAAATTCCACACAGGACATTGAATTCGCACTAAAGGAGGACTTATAGATTGAAATCCATTACATGTAAAACTTTTGCATAGCTAACTCTACAATGACGTGCCCGTGGGGCGAGCAGATTTTTTTAGTTAGAAAGGAGAATATTAATCAAATCTCTTAATGTTTTCCCATGAGGCATTGGCAGATGTTTACAAAATTTCAGATTAAAACCCAGTACAAAATAGCATCAATGTTTCGGTGCCAAAATCTTCCTACCGTTGTTTTTAATCAGGTAGTTAAATTAGACTAGATTGGCAACAGTCCCTCGTACTGCTAGTCCTCAAGAGCGTTGCCAGAACCACCGACACAGACACGGAGCATTATTTGAGTATAATTTGTGCCTTTCTAACATCAAAAACTGTTTTAGCTGTTTAGGTATTATTGTAATACAAAAGAACCAGGCAAATTTAAGGTCAGCATTACTAATATATATATATATACTAATATATAAAATTGCTATTATCCCTTGTGACAGCGTAGAAATTCAATCAATGATCAGAAAGCTTCGGAAGGGGACGGTCTGTTAAAAAATAATAATGAAAGATCGATTGTCTTGAGATAAAGAGACAGGCCAACAATGAACCAAAGCTTTTTCGTTATGTCAGAACATGCAAGAAACTGGGAGACCGAATGCCTCTTCTTCC